GTCAACAGGCAGCCCAGCAGTAGCCGTCCTGTGGGAATGAATCAAAATTATACTAATTACAGTACATATGGTTTGATCCAGTTATGTTGCGCTCATATTTTGCTTGTACTTTTTCCCAAAATAATTGGATCAAACCATATATACTGTTATGTGAGGAACAACATATCCCACATCATACTCTCATATACAAGGTTTTAAAGGTCTTCTCAGTTTCGGGGGAAAATGGATGCTGCAGCCCACTGCTGGTGGAGAGGGGTGTGACGGGAGCGTGCACGCAGTGATAGGGCGCCCAGGAAGGGGGCCGGGAACCCTCCTGGGAGCTGACAGTTGAATCTTGAAGGGTGTCAAGTTTGCCAGGTTGGGAGAGCAGAAAGCTTCTCCCAGAACAAACAGCCTAAGAGAAACTACTGAAAACCTTGATAGGCCATGGCCTGTTGGAGACCAGGGAGGACTCCAGGGGGTGTGGGAGTGGGTGGGGGTCCACTCAATAGGAGGTGAAGGGTGGGGAGGTCCCTGTTATAAACTGCGTTGCTTGCCAGGGGGTGGAGTAGGAAATTGCTCCTGTTGATAGTGGAGAACCAGGGACTTGGTGGAATCAATGCTCCCTTACATGGAAGCAAGTGTTACTGAATGAGGAGAACCCAAACCCAGCTTTCCTCTTTCCTTAAGGATAGATTTTTTTTTTTTAAATCTAGTGCGTCAGCCCTAGCTGGTTTGTCTTCATGGACAGAGCACTGGCCCTTGGACTGAAGGGTCCCGGGTTCGATTCCAGTCAAGGGCACATAACTGGGTTGCAGGCTTGATCCCTGGCCCTAATGGGGGCGCGTGTGGGAGGCAACCAATAGTTGTATATCTAACAGATGTTTCTCTCTGTCTCTCCCGCTCCCTTCCACTCTCTCTAAAAATCAATGGCAAAATATCCTTGGGTGAGGATTAACAAAATAAATAAATTTATTTTTAAAAACCTAGTGCTTTAAAAAATCTTCAAATACAGGCCAAATACAGTCCTTGTGAACATTTCTCATAACTGCGGCAGAAGCCTTGTCAGCACCCTGTGGAGTTCTTTAGCGGCATGCCTTCATACTCCCCAATGCCCAGGGCTCCTGCACTGGCAAAGGCGTCCACAGAGAGCACCCGGCGGGAGTGGTTTAGGCCGCTCTCCTCCGGAGAAAGGAGTATGCTGGTCCTGCCAGGGCCTGCAGGAGGGCTTTGATGAGGAGGAAAACTATGGAACCCTATCCTGGCCAGTTTGGGGCGCGGGGTTTCCCCCACAGAATCAATTGTATCTTAACCAGCTCCTTGTGCGCCACCCCGTGGGGAGGTGCTAGAATACAGCTTTGAAGGCTTTTGAAGGGTGCATCCAACTGAGCCTGCCTTCCTCGAGTTTCTGATCTGCTGTTGCAAGCGCTCTGTCTCTCTGAGGATGTCAGGGGACATTCCAGGGGGCAGCTTCTCTCCTGCATTTGGGGCTGCAGGGTGTGTGAGGAGGCACCGGTCCTGGCTTTTCACAGACTAGCTCAAGGGCTTCGGATAAGCCCTCTGTGCGCTCTCAGACAGTTCCCTCTTCTGCTTTGTTGTTGTTTGTTTCCCTACTTCTAGTGCCTGCAGTCTTTAGTGGCATAAGTGTTTGAGTATTTATTGCACCTGTAATTCAAAGAGGCATGAGTCTGGGTGATGAAAATACATCTCTGGCATTTTGAAAATTCAGGAATGACTGCGGCCATCTGTGAATACTATATATATAAGTCAGTATTAAATCAATATCATCTGAATGCATATTCATGGGAATGTCTGGCCTTTGCACTCAATCCCACCCCTGCCACTTCCTGTGTGGCTTCGATAAATTGCTCTCTGTCTCTGAGCCTGTTTGCGCCTCAGTCCAATGAGGTGGCGGTCTCATTTCACAGGGTTAGGGGAAGGGTTACATGATGTAATATGGGCACCGCAGGGTAGAGGTGGGGCTGTCTCAGAGGTTAGAGAAGGCACCCTAAAAAGGGGCATTTCAGCCAAGACCCAAAGGCACAGAGAGGTCACACAAGGGTAGTGAGTGCAGAGTGGGATCTAAATGTGGGTGAAAGAGGTGGCCAGTTCAATTCCTGGTCAGGGCACATGCCTGGGCTGCGGGCTCAATCCCCAGTGTGGGCGTGCAGGAGGCAGCCAATTAATGTTTCTCATTGATGTTTCTATCTCACCCTCTCCCTCTCTCTCTAAAAACCAATAAGAACATATTTTTAAAAATTGTAAATGTGGGTGAATTCAGTTCTACCATACCTCACGGCCTCCCTTCCTCTAAATATTTGCATGTATGTCGTTGAATTTTTTTTTATTGTTTTAGTCCTCACCCGAGGATATGCCCCATTGATTTTAGCAAGAAAAGAAGAGAAAGGGAGAGGGAGAGGGAGAAACATCAATTGGTTGCCTCCTGCACACACCCCAACCCAGGGATCAAACCTGAAATCTGAGTATGCACCCTGACCTGGAATTAAACCCACAACCTTTCAGTGTACGGGACAACACTCCAACCAACTGAGCCACACCGGCCAGGGAATCTATACTAATAAAAGTGTAATATGCTAATTAGACTGGGAGACCTTCCGGGAGACCTTCCAGGCATCCTTCCGGACAAAGCCATGGTGGTGGGGCTGAGGCAGTGGCGGTTAGGGGTGATCAGGCTGGCAGGGGAGGGCAGTTGGGGGTGAACAGGCCAGCGGGGGGGGGGGCAGTTGAGGGCGAGCAGGCCAGCAGGGGAGTCAGTTGGGGGGGAGCAGGCTGGCGGGAGGGGCAGTTGGGGGCAATCAGTCCAGCATGGGCGGGCAGTTAGGGGTGATCAGGCTGGAAGGGGGGGCAGTTGGGGTTGATCAGGCTGGCAGGCAGAGTGGTTAGGGGCAATCAGGGAGGCAGGCAGGTAAGCAGTTAGGAGCCAGCGGTCCTGGATTGCGAGAGGGATGTCCGACTGCACCACAGGGATTGGGCCTAAACCGGCAGTCGGACATCCCCTGAGGGGTCCCAGATTGGAGAGGGTGCAGGCCGGGCTGAGGGACACCCCCCCTCCACCCCCGTGCATGAATTTTATGCACCGGGCCACTAGTGTTATTGTATTTTAGCTTGTGATCTATAGCTCTTTCTCCCAGATAGACTATAGCTCCTTGCAAACAGCAACCTCATCTCCCAGGCACCTGCTACATAGTACAAGTAATAGGCCTAAATAGATGCTCATTTAATTTTTCAGTTTATGTATCTGTACGTACTTGCATGCATTTAATAATCTTCTAGGGGTGCTAAATTCTTCTATGTACTAGTATGTTCTGTTATTTCCTTAACCAACACATTGTTATGTTTTCCAAGAGTCTCTGAGCACCTGGACACACCCATGCTCAAGCTCCTTTTACTCCTATTTTCTAGGCTGGGGTGATCCAGGGCCAGTGTGCAAGGGGTGCAGCATCTGGCATCAGTTCTGCAGCAGGTGGGACTTGGACGCAGCTCATTCATCTACTAGAAATGACATTGAACGTGTCCTGCCAAATGCTGCACAGGGCAGGCCTCATTGCAGCCTGCCTTCCAGGCCCTGGATGAGGAAAGAGGAGCCGCTGCCCTGTGCCAGGCACTGTGCAAAGTGCGGGACACATGGTGGAAGCACATGTGTGATTGAATGAGAGTTTCTTTTTCCTGACACTTAGTCGCTCACAGTGGCGAAAGCCCATAGTCCGTGCACACACACAGAGTATGGACCAGCTCGTTGCATGCAGGACTCCATCCAGGTGGGCACAAGCGGAGGGAGTGGCTAGCTTCACAGGGGGGTGGGAGGGAGTGTAGGAAGGTGTGCCAGGCAGTGAATTTCTCTTGCTGATTGGGAAAAATTATGGCGAGTAGCCAAGGAAAGAGGCCAGGATGTGGTAGGAGCAGGCACAGACGAGAGGCTCAGCCTGTGCAGAGGCCCAGAGAATGAGAACGGGTGGCACCTTTAGCCCCTGAACATGCCCACGAGAGCCAGCTGGGCGGTAGGTGGGTAAGAGGCAAGGTGGTTGGTTGCATGTCAGACCCATTAGTATAGTCTGCATTTCCAGTAAGAAATGTCTTCCCTCCTGCTTTTCTTGACTTATACCCACTTAGACTGTGCTTCATCTTTTCAATCTTTGATGGAAACTTAGGTAAAGAGAAATTATTCTCCAAGAAACACAGCAGCATAAATCCAACAATCCTATCCATCGGTACGTGGTACTTGGTTCCTGATGGCGAGACCAGTGGGAGTGGTGGGGCCTGGAAAGCATGTCCTGCCTCTGAAGGGGCAGCTCGTGCCGAGCCAACTCATCCAGGTTCAGTGAGCCTGAGAAGGGGCGGGGAAGGATGGAGAAAAGACAGACAAGAGAATGAAAGCTGGGTCAGGGTGGGACGCTGTCCTCTCCGATGGAGAGCTAGCGACAGTGCCACGGACTACAAGCTGTGTCTTTATTTTATAGCCAGATTCCACGAGGCAAAGTAAGGGTGTGTTTACAACGTTCTCGTGGGGTTCGAATCTACTCAATTACATGCACCTGAACTCTATCAAGCCCACATCACTCAGGCAAGTGGGGCCACATGTGCGGACCATAGGTTCAAGTTTACAACTACAGCTGTTGGCTATAATTGTGCTGGGAGGGCTTTGCTCTCCACGCTGGGACTTGCACGTGGCCATGAGAGGACTGTGCCCTCTCATTAGTCCGAGGCTTGAACCTGTCCAAACACTGTAGCCGCTCTCCACAGCGGCTGGAGTTAAAGGGTCTTGCAATATTTCAGAAAAAGCAAGCAACCTGGATTTTCAGCAAGTTAGCTGTGTTTTTAAAGATGCTTTGATTTAAAAACAAAAACAGGAAACAGACGACTTCTGCAAGCCAAGCCTTATTCATGGCCATGCTTGCAGCATCCTGCTCAAAGGCTCGAGAGCTCACAAGGGTATGTCAGACCCTTCCACAAGCCACCACTCTGCCTTCAGTTCCCTAACCGCCCTTCTCCCTGCTTTCCAGAAGGAGATGACCAGCCGGATGTGTCACTAGTGCCCCACCCTACCCTGCGGAAGAAAGAGGGCAGCTGCTCGCTCCTGGAGGCCCAGGTGGGCGGGAGGAGACCTGGCTGATATGGCGCTCGGACTTCCAGCCGGCGAGGGGGACACCGGGATGACTCCTGAGAGACACGCCCCTCACTTCTGTGTCTTAACCCTGAGTGCTGCTAGCCTCGCCCTGTGGAGTGGCCGCCCGAGAGAAGGACCCCCACCCCCGACCACAGGAAGCCTCCGAGCCCCCGCAGCCCTGCCTGGGCCCGCGCTGGGCCGGATTCAGGTTGTGAGACTGAGACACTGTGTGCTTTCCCTCCTCTGTCTTGTCTGCCGGCCGACTTTTCCGTCCCTGTGTTCTAAGTCCTGAGTGCATTTGGATCTCTGGATGCCCCGCGAGTCTGTCTAAACAAGCCTTCCTCCCGTTCAGTCCCTGCAAACTCCCGCCCTGCTCCTGTGGCCTGACTGTGCGCAGGGCTGTGGAGCTGGAGACACAAGGCCCTGGCAGCACCCACACCGTTTCCCTAACAGGCATCCTATCAGGGACACTCTGCGGGGGGCCGTCTCTGCCCCCGGCGGGGTCTGCACACTTACCTACAGGGAAGAGCCTGGTTTCTAGTCACCAGTTCACCCTGAACCGAATGTGTTTTTTATAACCACGCCATTCTTTCCACTTAAGATGTTTGGTCCTGTTTCCCAGAAGAGAGGAATGGGAGGGAGTTATAAATGACCAGGGATGGTCAGCAGAAGCCCTGAGCCAGATTAGTGCCGTGTTTGTTCTTCATTGGGGAGGGGGGGTGGGGGGGGATCACGGCTGTCGCTGCGTAATACCAAATTTCAGCTAAAAAAACAAAAGTACAATTGGCTGTTGGTGCACGGGGCTCAGACTCCCGGGCACGGCCTTAACCTTCCCGGCTGGCCCTCTGAGCTTCTGAACCCAGCCAATGGCCGCTTCCTCTTCCTCCACCCTCTCCTCGCCTCTGCTGTATTACATGATGGCCTGAAATTAATTTCTGCCCCAATGATTGTGCCACAGTCGCCAAGGTAACCGTGGAGCTGCAGCGCACTTCCTTCTTCCATCCTCCCCAAGTTTTCCATTCCAGTAGACAGGATGCCCACTCTGGGCTACTTCCTGCCTGTTGAAACCCAGGTGAGTGTCACCTCTCTGATTCATTCACCATGCGGTGGAGGCCCCGGAAGCCTGTGACTAGGTGGTAACTATACTTCCAGTGAGCATTTGAATATGGCAAAATAGCCGTTGGTGGAGGGAAGTAGAAACGAATGTATTAGTGCATTGTAATGTAGTACCGATTAAAGAATAACTAAGCAACTCTGATTTCTGTTTCATTATACATAACATATTAAAGCCATTTGTGGCGGCCACAAGAGCCTAAGAGCATGAACTCGTTCTTCGTCCAGACTAAGAAAGGGCTGACTGGGCTCGGTGGCATTCTACATTCCCAACCCAACCCTTACTTTGCTTCTCGTCAAAGTTGTCTCATGGAATCCAAATGCTGCTACCTCTCTCCGTGTGGTTGTGCTCTGGCCAGCAAAACTCACTGCCCTTTTATGTTTGAGAGGACAAGACAGGCAGAGATGTTTCAGCTTCATTTGGGGCTGAAAGAACACCTGACTGTCCTAGGGACCCAGAGAAACAGGAACAAGAGCCCCTGCAGAACCACACACAGCAAGTGCCGTGGGGTGCGCGCTGGGACAGAGCAGGACCTGGAGGAGCTCGGAAGCCTGGACCTGGGACAACCACGGGGCTTTGCATTGAAAATGGACTGCGTTCCTGCATCTCCGTCACATAGGATGCTGGACTCTGGAGACATTTGTTATTAATTCTTTTTAAGGTTATTTCTAGTCACTGTTGGTGCATCTGAAATTTCCATTCAATTTAAAAATCCAAATATTTTTTTCAACTCCTTGGAACAGATTCCTCCTGGTTATATCGCTCATTGCACTAATCAACTCCTAAAGGACAAGCGCTGGCACACGGCTCGTATTTTTTAATTACAGAGCATTTTTATTCCCGCAGAACCTTGTTTGGCAAATTCTAAAGAAAATCATTACAGGAGGGCTTTTGTTTTTTTATCTTTTTGGCTCGACCACATCACAAGTACTTCCCATTGTACATGGAGGACCTGAGCTCAGGCAGCCCCGCAGGCACCCCTGGATCTGAGTCTGACACTGACACCTGGCTTCTTCCTCCGAACCTGCTGGCTCTCCATCTCCCACTATGTTTTAGTTGAATTATACATGTAGCCACTCTTCTTTCTGTGAAGTTTCAAAAAGGGAAGATTATAATGAACATCCATAGACCCTTCCTCAAGGCATCGATTGTTAACATTTTTTCAGCTGTTAACATTTCCATATTTTCTTTCTCTCTCCTTAAATATTCATTCTTATTGATGAACCATGTCAAAATACAATGCAGACCTCATAAAACTTTAAAATACTTTGTCAATTGCCCCTACATTAAGGAAGATCCAAAGACTACATAAAATAAGTAAAAACATAATAAATGAGAGCTTTGTCTGCATACCCATGACATATTTGAAGACCATTACCAATGGCCCTTCAGCCTTTTTTCCCTTAGCTGTCTCTCATTGGCAGAATTCTCTCGGAAGTCTGTTGCTCCGCTGAGAGTTCTGTAGTCCAACGTGAAACCTTCCCAAAGCTCTCCATGTCACTGTGCGTTAGGATGGAACCAAGAGTGAACATGTAAAAAGTTATTGCATGTTTTCTACAAACTATATTGTGCCTTTGTTCAATCCTGACTTGACTTTTATACATTGATAAATTTTCTGTTCTGTTTGCCCACACTAAATTATCATCTATATTATATTCAACCATTTTGGTGTATCTCCTTGACGTTTGTTTGTTTTAAACACCTCTTTAATTGGCAGAGTACTGAGGGACTTGGATAGGGTTCTCACCGTTTTGTGGTGATTTACCCCAATCCATCAATCTGGTCACCGGTGGAAGCACAGCACTCCCTGTGGCCCCTCGCCTTCCATCACACCCACACCCCGTGAGCATCACACTGTGAGAAGAGAAACACTGTAGGAAAGGCATGGCCATGTCTCAGAGGAGTGTGTACAAAGGGGTCAGATGTGTCCCTTGGGTAATCCTGTTGTCATTTGTTCTTGGATCATTTTGGTCCTTGATGACGTAGATGATTCTCTCTCAGAATTATCCAAACAAAGCGTGTTTTGGAAAGAATTGATTTTTCCCTGCTTTAAAAAAATATATCAACAATAAAACAAAACAAAAAAAAGCGCACCTCTTTACAACAGGCTATTTCTTTCTGGCCAGTTATTAATTCTGGGTAAGAAGTTTTCAAGGAGTAAATAAGGATTTTTGTAACTTTTAGAGGGAAGAGTCCAGTTCTAGTCTGACAATTAAGCTGTTTTGCTAGCTCTTAGTGTTCTCATTTCAAAGTTTCCAGTATCTTTTCTAATTGCATCAGAAAAATGATTGTTTTTAGTTCCATTTGTGATTAAATTAAGGGTTTGACAATAAGAGCCTACACAAATCAATTAGAAAAGCAAGATAAAGCGAAAGAACATTTATGAAATCAATTCTGTGTGAGCTTGGGAATCCAAATGTCAACAATAAAAGACATGTAACCATAATCTATTCTGTCTTTTTCTCTGTGTGTGCTCAATTTATTTCTTCATCTTGCAGTGGGCCTGCAATAGCAAAAATTGAGAAACTTACTTCCCATAGAAATTAAGCTGATCATTCAATCTATCTAACCTTTCAATTATCCTGAATTCTCAGCTCTGTGTCCAAGCAAAGTTCCTTGCCACACTGACTAAAATGATAAATGTCACTGAAAAGCCAATGGTAGCATCACACACTATAACAATAATACATTTTATCTGACTTATCTTCTTCATGTGAAGTAGATTTTATCAGAATACCTTACTTTAACTGAAACTTCTCATTATTTTAATGCAGCGTTCATCATCTGAGTTTTTGTAATAATAAAAAGAAGCAAAACATCCCAGTACAATAAATTAATACTAAATGAGGAAATTCAATTCAATCTAGCTAAACTTTGATTGATTTTCTAACTGTATTACTGCCCATCCAATTACGCTGAACATCTGCTCCAGAGGAAATCATATCATACGACTGCATACGACTGAGACATGACCTCACATATTATCAAATCAGCAAAGGATAAGAGTCTAAGCATCTTCAAGAAATACACAGAACATAGCCGGAAAAGGTAGCAACAGAATCCTCTGTTATTAACTCAGAAACAATATTCCGGATACCCGTTCTCCATGATTGTGCATATTATGTATCTACAATGATGTGTTTGTACAAACTTCATGCTGACTGACTCCCACAAGAGGCAGCAGCATTTGGAAAATTCCTAAATTGTGACTTGTTTGTCTGTCTAAAGGCTAATGACTTCACTTGGGCTTGTCTCAGTCAGAAGTATAATCCCACGGAGGTACAACAGGGGCATTTGGCCCCCAGGAGCCTGTGGTTAAGGGGAAGCTGCTGAGGCTTTTTAACATTAGCTGGAAGTGAGGAACCGGCTGCCCACCCCTGCCCTATCTGTGGATGAGAACATAGCCCCTTCTCTGCTCAAAACCCTGCAATGCTACTTTCTATGCTCAGATTAAAAGCCTCAGCTCCCCCTTGATCCCTCCATCCCAGGCCTCCCTCCCCCAGCCTCCTTGCTGGCCTCACACACACTAGGCACAATCATCTTTATGGCCTTGCATTGGCTGTTCCCCTGACTGGATGCTCTTCCCCCAGATGGCCTTAAGGTAACTCCTTTTCTTTGAAGTTTTTGCTTAAATGTTACCTCAGTAAAGTCCCTGATTATTGCATCTGCCCAAAAGGACACACAACCCCCCTTTCTGTGCTCAAATTTACATTTCCCCTAGCATTAATATTATACCAGAGGCCCAACGCATGAATTTGTGCACCATGGGGTCTCTTGGCCTGGCCTGCAGGATTGGGCCAAAACTGGCTCTCTGACATCCCCTGAGAGGCCCTGGATTGCAAGAGGGTGCAGGACAGGCTGAGGGACCCCACTGGTGCACAATTGGGGCCGGGGAGGGACACAGGAGGTTGGCCAGACAGGGAGGGATCGTGGGAGGGCTTCAGAGCGTGTCTGACCCATCTCACTCAGTCCCGATCTGCCAGACCCCAGCAGCAAGCTAACCCACTGGTTGGAGCATCTACCCCCTGGTGGTCAGTGCACATCATAGCGAGCAGTTGAGCGGCCTTAGCATATCATTAGCATATTATGCTTTGGTTGAAAGGATGACTGGGCGACTGGACACTTAGCATATTAGGCTTTTATTATATAGGATAATTTATTTGCTAGGCTTTTGTTTATTGTCTCTTTCCATTAGAAATATTAACTCCATGACACTGGGGATCTCTGTCTATTTGTTTGTTGATGTATCCCAAGCATCTAGAAGAGAGTGTCTGGCACACAGTAGATGCTCAGTGAACCCTTGATGAATGAATGAATGAATAGCAAATAGGTACCTAATTAAGGTCTGCTATCAGAGAGATTAATTAAAAGCAATATATAATAATGATAATATACATTTTATGATGCACCCAAAGCATACATTTATTGAGTGCATACTACACATTAAATATACTCTAAGCATTTTACATGGATAATCTCATCAAATGCTCGTGACAATCCCACAAAGCTGGTTGTCTATGTTTATTCCGATTTCATGGTCATTGTTACAAAGTGATGGAGCTGGATTTAACCCCACACGTGTGGGCTCAGGACCCCACACTCTTAACCGCTGGAATCACCTTCACCCACCAGGCACTGGGCTTTCCCACCATTCCCCTTCCTGTGGACACAGGCTCCAGGTAGTGTAGCAATCAGCTTCCCATTTATTTTCTGGATATTTGTTAAAGTGCTTGCATTGGTGCTTCTGTGATCTGCACATCTGAGATCATAAAGTTATTTCTATTCGCAAGATGTGCACTCACAGTTATAAAGTGGACCCAAAGATTAGGGGGGACAGCAGACCTAACGGCGGACACCAAGCTCAGCATGACTAGTGTTGAGTGCTGCTGAGTGATGTGAGGGTAATTCCAGAGATGAAGGTGGGGTTCCTGAGTGGGAAGGAACCAGGGAGACAATCAGAAAGTCCTGGAGGATTCACCAGCGAGCAATTACACTGCTGTGAAAAAGAAGGAATTCTTACCATTTGCAACAGCACGGATGGAACTAGGGAGCATTATGCTAAGTGAAATAAGCCAGTCAGAGAAAGATAAATATCACATGTTCTCACTCATTTGTGGACTATAATGAACAAGATAAACTGATGAACAAAAATAGAACCAGAGACATAGAAGCATCGAACAGTCTGTACAACCTAAGAGGGAAGGTGGGGGGTGAGGGGGTAAGAGATCAACCAAAGGACTTGTATGCATGCAGATGAGCATAACCATGGACACAGACAGTAGGGGGCGGGTCAGGGCTTGTGCTTGGCGGAGGGTGTGGTGGGGAAGAGATCAATGGGGGGGGAAAGGAGAGTCATGTAATACTTTAAACAATAAAGAATTTTTTTAAAAAGAGAACACAAGGAATTTTTAGGTCTTGTTCTTTGCTGCAAAGTGAGGAAAAAAGCATGCATTGTATTCATCCTTATAGGAAGACAAGCAGACTAGTAAGCATTAATAAACAGAAATACCCAAAGCAGAACATCTTAGCTTTGACAATAAGAGGTTTGCAGAACTATCGCAGTTAATTTTTTGCTAATTTTCTTTCTCTGCTCAAGAAATTAACTGGCATTAATTCTTAAACCATAATATAAAATGCATGCCGGTACATGAACAATTAGAAATACGCAGCTGAGAGGTCAGGGCCATGTGCAGCTGTGAAATTTATTTCTTTTAATATATTTTTATTGATTTCAGAGAGGGAGAGAGAGATGGGAACATCAATGATGAGAGAATCATTGATTGGCTGCCTCCTGCACGCCCCACACTGGGGATGGAGCCTACAACCCAGGCACATACCCCAACCGGGAATTGAACCATGACCTCCTGGTTCATAGGTTGACGCTCAGTCACTGTGCCACCGGCCCGGCTGTGAAATTTATTAATGCAGCTATTCCCTAAACTAAGTTTAGAAATGAGCAGGAATCACATTTCTTTTTAAAAGCAGCACCTGCTCCACCCACCTGGCTTGTGCAGCCTCCTCTCAGGGCACCAGGAGTCATGCAGAGGGTAAATGCTCTTCGGTTCCTGGTTCCATCAGGAGACCTTGAATACGTCAGGATGTAAGGCCGGTCTATGATTTAAGGTGGATGAAGTACTAGTAAATATGTCGTGATGAAGTGAATGACTTTTACCTTCCTGTTCCTAGGGCCCCATCGATATTGTCCATGAAACAACTGAACTACAGATCATAGAAGGAGGCAGCATTTGTTAAAAGGGGAGCAGGTAGGAGTGTTGTTGGGTTTTGTCTTAATAGTAAACCATTAGATGCAGCAACTACTGACCCATGGGAGTTAAAGAAAATTCATTCAAAACGGAAGCCCCATTTCACACTCCCAGGAACAATTTTTAGCCCATTTCCGTCCTAGTATGAGCTTCCTGCGGTTGTGTTGATACCATGAGGCATAGCTCTGATACTAAGCACTGGCAGGGCATTATCTGGACACTGAATTCAGCAAAAACTCTGTGAGCTGGTGGGTTTTAAGTAAAAGAAATAAAAAACTGTAAGTCCAGAAAGTTCCTAAGAGCTGCAAACTGGTTATTGCCGTGTTGACAGTTTTCCTTCAGAAGGAAGCTTGTGCTGCCCTGGGGCTCACGCTATTTCCTTGGAATTTGCATTCTCTCTCCTGAGTGACTGGGAAAAGTTCTGCATGACTTGGACAGAGAAATGGGGGAGAAGGGTCCCCTGGCTCTCACCGGTGCCCAGAGGAAGGGAAGTTGGAAGAGGTGAGTGTTGAATGACTGCACCTGCAGCTCCAGATTCCCGAGTGGCTGTCCTGGGAAGGAGGTGCCAGGCGCTGCGGGGACATTAGGATGGCACCAGGGGGAAGAATTGCTGGGAACTTGTTTACCGAGAATTTGCTTTATGCCAAGCATCGTGCTTGCTTGGTACCTGAGGTAGATTCTCCCATCCCTTCTCACGGCTGTTCCTGGAGGTAAGCATGGTGACGGCGACCGCCCTGCAATCTGCTGCACATGTGGAGGCTGAGGGCGTGGCAAGCGGGGGACAGTGTGAGCTCGGCGGGGAAGTCCCTGCTCTGGCTTCATGCTGGGCCTCCTGCCAGGCGTTTTCCTCGGGTGATCGGATGAATCTTCACCACAATCTTCTGAAGTCAATAGCATCGTCATTTCACAGGTGAGGACACTGAGGTTCAGGCACAAGAATCTGATTCAAGGTCATGCAGCTGGCTGGCGGTGGGGCTGGGATTTGAACCCACATCTCTGTCTCCAGAGCCCCTGCTCTTAATTACTATGTGTGTCCCCTTCCACACACAGACTTTATTTACTGAAAAATGATCCCTCCTGCACCTGCTACCCTGTTCACCTGCTACCCTGGTAACAAAGCTACTTTCACCAGGAGGATCACACGATTAGTTTCCCCTGAAAAGCCCAAAGGAACCTTGGGAAGCAAGGATGAGGAAGTCTCAGGCGATGGAATTTACGTACCCTTCGCGGGAGAGAGGGTGAGGCTGATGAACGCGCTGAAAGCTAAGACGGTCAAAGTGACGGGGAGGAAACGTGTGGGCCCACTGCCCCTGGGTAGATGTTGTCGCCAGGCCACCGCCAGGGGAAGACAGACTGAGTGGCAGCCGGCTCACCAGCCTGGGAGCGCAGCCACAGGGACGGGAGAGCTCACGCGCCTTTGATTCGGAGGGATTCGCACCTTCCAGTTGCCCAATAGAACAGTGGTGTTCCCACCCAGACTTAGTCTTCCAGGGGGGACTAGTGCAGTGGCCCCCCCCGTCCCCATCCATGGGCTATATGTTCCAAGACCCCCAGTGGATACCTGAACCACGGAGAGTAAAAGGAAACTATGATTTTCCTATACTTAATACTTATAACAAAGTTTAATTTATAAGTTGGCCACAATAAGAGATGAATAATAACTAATAATAAAATAGAACAATGATAATATACTGCAATATAAAGTATGTGGATGGCTTTGGAGCCATTACTAAGTAAAATAAGTTTCTTCAACAGGAGCACCACAATATGGTGACAGTCAGTCTGATGACTGAGGTGGCTCCTAAGTGACTAACGGGCAGGTAGCGTATGCAGCGTGGATGTGCTGGACAAAGGGACGATTTCTGTCCCACGCAGACGGTGTGAGATTTCATCACGCTGCTCAGAATGGAGTGCAATTTAAAACATATGAATTGTTTATTCTGGAATTCTCCATTTAATATTTTGGGAGCACACAGTTGACCACGGGGAATTGAAACTGTAGAAAGCAAAACCGTGGACAAGGGAAACTAGTCCACCTCCTGGTATTGACCCTTTCATACCAGTGAGGGGATATAGCAGCTTACAAGTGGCCAGATGCCCATTCTGAGCTGCCGGAATGAAACCAGGATAAGGAAAGGCTTAGCTAGGCCTTCCTGGGTGTAGCTGGCACACCTATTTAGAGGCCTCTAAGTTTCATTAAAAGACTGGTGTCCTTGGCTTTTCAGAAGATGCGAACATGATCATCACTCCAAGTTGAATGAGAAGATATAAGGTAGGGGAGAAAGGAACTAGAACGAGATTTGCGGCAGGGTGACCACTGAGAAGAAAGGAAGAGAAAACCGTGTTCAGAAGTTCTGAATGTTTCTGGGTCCACTAAATCTCAAAGTAAGTACATTGTTATTTCCCCCTCATCTTCCTGATAATCCCCATCCCAAAGCCTTTGGTAGGATCCAACCCAGGAGGCATATGTGTGAGGGTAGGGTACAGGGAGCCACGGTGGCCCAGAGTGGGGTGAGAAGGATATCTGAGTGGGAGAAGAGATGCTTGCAGAATATTGAAACCAAATCAATATTTGGAAGATAGGAATATAAGGCCAGGAAGAAATATATGTCAAAACCCGTGGGTTCCAATGGTTACTTTTAATTTCAGGATCTGGGACTTTAACATTTCACAGCTGGAACAGAGACGTGTCGTACTGAGGCCCAAGAGAATGGGTTTAGATTGCTAAGTTAGATTAGAAGAGAGGAGTGTTGGCAGTGGGATGTCAAACTGAGAGACCAAGCAGTTGGATGCGTTGTCTGTGTGGCCGGTAAGTTCTCAGGAGGTGTTCTTGGAAATGGAGATCGCTATAAGAGTCTTCAATGAATTGGGACGGGTTTAGAGAAGGACAAAAGATGATAGTGGTGGGTGGGTGATGGAGAATGGGATGGCTAAGTGGCATAAATCTTGAAGGACAGATAGTATTTGAGAGCAGGAAAGTCAAAACCCTGAAGCAGCAAGAATGCCAACCCCACCTCAACACACTGATACACACTGGGGTACGTGGGATGTGGAGAATCTAGAGGCTGCAGTGAACGGCCAGATCTCAGCCCAAACCTGTACACACACTGGATCTAGATGCTGCATTTATACTTTAACATTATAATATAAGCATTCTCATAAACTTAATCTTAATATCTGTTTAACATTCAATTTAGTGAACATTCATGACATTTTTGGTCAATTACCCTTATCATTTGTATTGGGTTGTTTCAAATTTTTCTCATTATAAACAATGAAGTAATGAGCATAGTTTTGACTAATTGTTTTCTTTTAGCAATCATGATTATTTCATTTAGATAGTTTCCCAGAAGTGGAATTTCTACCTTAAAGTCTGGGAACAATTTTTAGGCTCTTGATAATTATTTTTCTAAACTCATCTGCCCCAGCCCTGGAACCAGCCATTTCTCCAAGAATTCCTGGTTCCTTTAGTGGAGAATAATATTCACACGCCAAGACCTGGGAACTAGATGTGTTCATGGAATTGGAATAGCACAGTTGTCATATTCTCCATTGGACAGAGATAGGGAATTATTGTATGCATGAGTGTATATGTGTACGTAATATATGCATTCACATGCATACACATTTACATCTATATTTAATTCTATATCTACCTATATATGTCAGAAATCATGGGTTCAATAGTTACCTTTCATTTCAGGCCAACACTTGTTTACATATTTAGAACTCCCTCCTTTGGCAGCGAGAAGTCAGGCTGCCATTATACTAAGAGTTTAAGTCCTCTCCGCTTCCCCTCATCCTCTTCTGCAATTAGACTCCCTTCAAGTTGATTCTCTAATTCATCAGGTATGTAGAAACCACGGGTTGGACTTAATTTGTGAGCCTTTATTGCACCGAAGAAAACTGTTAAGTCTTTTTAAATTTATGTGTTTTTTTACTGATGCTTGTGTCGTTTTAACTATAAATGTTATCTAATGCTGAGAGGCTATTCAGCACCAATAATTAAAATTGAGAGAAAGTGAGTTGATCCTTTAATATCATGCAGAATATTGATGATAGTGTCCATTTAATTTCTTGCTTTATTGCTGATTATGAGTTATATATGAGAAATATGTGGATAATATCATCTATATGAAAGTCCTCTTTTGACTAACTAAATATTATATAATTTTATCAATGTATGTGAGGCAAAAAATGGATTTCATTGTTTAAAAAAATGTAAGTAAAACAAATATTTTATATTTTATAAAAAAAAACCTGAAAAAAATGAGTTTCAAAAATTTTTTCCTAAAGAACTCTAGTTAAGATAGCCCATGAACCAGAAGGTGCTGGGCATTTGGATTGAATGTTGGTGTCTCCGATTAGCTTTTAACAAACATTTTCACTTCAGTTATCCAAAAGAACAGATGTTGTTGTAAAGCTTTGAAAACCCAAAAGGTGTGTTCTCATTTTATTAGCAACAACATTAATGCTTCTTTAAAATCCTGGGGACCTTCGCGGGGTCACTTCGTAAGTTCCATAAATGTGTAACCACTATGCTTGAGCCCTGAAACTATTTGTGCTATTGACAACTATAATTGAAAAATAATGTTTTAAATGAAATAAAATCCAGGGGCCAATAATTCACATTATTTCTTGAATACATATTTCTTAATTTTCAAAGAAAATCTCATAATGTTTTCTTTTTTAAAACTAAAGACCATTAGAATTCAAGGATAAAACAGACAGCAGGCTGAGTCACAAAGCGTTTGGAAATCCCTCCCCAGCATTCTGACCTTTTGTCGGTGACGTCATAATGTCCCGGCTAGTTACAAGACCTGCTGGCAACTGGAAGGAAACTCCAAGAGACACAGGACATTGGTGATCAATCACATCGTCCCAATGAATCTCATATTGTTTATTTTTTTATCTGGGGTTCATTCCTCAGAGATTAGTGATGTGACTTCCAATAATGAAGGTGGGTAAGCATGGGAAGCTTTCACAGACATAATAGATAAGGAAGATGACCCCATTATCCTAGAAAATTGACGTGTAGCAATTTTATTGTTGGAAATATGGTACAATTTAGAAGTGAAGTCTCTGCCTCCAATCCTTTGTGGAAAAAATGAAAGTCCTTCAAAGAAATGAACATATGTCTGATGTACAGTGTGTCATACTTTTTTTTCAGAGGTTTATGTGGAACCTCTAGTTGATGAAGAACATAAAGAAGAAATTAAGCATAACATCCCTTATAATGATAAAAATGACCATCATTTTAAAGAGGAAAAAAATTGTAAGTATTTAAAGTTAATAGTAATACATCTACGAGAACTGATTATATTGGTTTGATTTAACTTTTTTAAAAACTATAATCACATTATTTTCTACTTCTTAAATTAACCTTATAGACAGGTCAGTGTGTAAAATGAAATTTTTAATTTCTGCAACTTTTTCCTGAGATGTTACGAAGTTTAACAAGGTTATCTTGGTAATTGTCTATAATTAACATGGGCTCCATTGTAGCATTATGGTTACTTATTCACATGATTAACAACTGACTTAATTCTATGGTGAGATAACCAGAATTTATTTGGAGTTGTGTATGAGTTTCCTAGGGCTGCTAAAACAAAGTCACACAAACTGTGTATTCCCTCACAATTCCAGAGGCCAGAAATTGAAAATCAAAGTTTTGACTCTACCGTGCTCTCCCTAAAGTCTTTAGGGGAGGGTCCCTCCTGGCCTCTTCCAGCTTCTGGTAGCTCCAGGCATTCCTTGGCTACTATAGTAGCAGAACTCCAATCTCTGACTCGTTTTCACGTGGCATTCTTCCTCTATCACTGTGTCCAAATTTCCCTCTTCTCATAAGGATACCATTTATATTGGATTAAGAGCTCACCCTGTTCCAGTGTGACTTCATCTTAACTAAATCTCCAATGACCCTGTTTCCAAACTGCGTCATATTTGAGGTTCTGGGGGTTAGGACTTCAATCCTTTTTTTCTTTTCCGGGGTAGGGGGAGTGACAAAATTCAACCCATAGAAGATGACTTTAAGGTGTGTGGGAGGCCCAATTAATTTATTCACCATTCCTCATATGGGCTTTCTCTCTATGTCTTTATAATGGCTACCATTCTAAAAAAGTGAAAAGTTCCTAAGAAACTCTTTATAAAAATTCTTTTAAATTAAGATTAAATCTAGTTATTCTGGGTTCTTTATTAGTATTAATCAAAGAAAAATAGAAATACATGTACAATGAAGTACTTTGAAAACTACAATCCATAAATTGTACTTCTTTCTTTGATGAATTATTGTCCCTCTTTTAAATGTAAAAAACAAACAAAAAAAAAACACAACAAAACAAAAACACCTGATGCTCAGAGAGGTGGTTCATAGCTACCACAGAGCGAGTCAGGAGTGATGTCACATCTTCCACCACCAGCTGCCTCTGCTGTGCCCTACAGGGTGCAGTCATTCCTTTTCAGGATGTCCCTCCATTTGAATTAACCGGAGGACAAATAACTCAAGAGCCTGATGATTACTTTGAGTAAAGGAAAAAGTCTGTCTTACACACACACACACATTTATCTAAAATATAAATGGAATTGTGGTGAAGAATGGTCTTATGACTGACTTTTCTCCTTTAATAGCTTTGGAACTCTTTATCCACTATCTTACAAAGAATTAAATGATGGGCAGTTTCTCCCATGTATGCTCTTCTCAGACACCGTTGGGTATATCTCTCTTTGGATAGATACCAAGTACTGGAATTGCTGAATAAATGATAAACCCTTTAAAATATTGGTAGATACCACCAAATTGCCCTCAAAAGGTACCTACCAAATTGTATCTCCCAAGAGTGCTCCCTAATCTCACAATAATAGTGTTAATCATATTTTGTGAATAAGTGAGAAACTTTATGAGTGTTTTTAATTTGCATCTTGATTACTTGTGAAGTTGAGTATTTTTCTCTGTATTTATTGGGCATTTAATTTCAACTTCTGTGATTTGTCTGTTTTTATCTTTGGCTCATTTTTCTATTAGATTATATTTTCACTTATTTGTAAGAGATATTTTTATATTTAGTATATTAACTTTTTCTCTAAAGTAAAGTAACAAGTATTTTCCTCCAGGCTGTGGTTTATCTTTAAACCTATTTAGGTATATTAATCACAGAGAAAAATTTAAACTTTATAAAATAAATTTTTAATTCCTTTATAATTTCTGCATTTTGTATTTGCTTAGATGGACCTTATCCAAATAGGTATTAAAATATTTTCCTAGTTTTCTTAAGTTTTATATTTTTGTTTTTAACTCTTGGGTCTTAAATTCAGTTATTTTTGTGACATAAAATAGGCATAAAACTTTACATGTTTCAAGGGTAATTGCCAAATGTATAACACCAACTCCCTACTCATGTGAAACTCACATTTAATATAATCTAAATTTTCATTGAAATTTAGTTAGTTATTCCCTTTTTGTTTTTCTGATCTGTCTCTGCAAAAATACCACATTATTTTTTGTTATTGTTGTTAATCTTGACTTGAGGATATTTTTTTCCATTGATTTTTATTGTTTTAGAGAGAGTGGAATGGAGAGAGACAGAGAGAGAAATATTGATGTGAGAGAGACACATCTATTGGTTGCCTCCTCCATGCACTCTAACCGGGCCTGGCTCGAGCCTGCAACCATATGTGCCCTTGACCAGAATTAAATCCTTGATTCTTCTGTCCACAGGCCTAACCACTGAGCCAAGCCAGCTAGGACAAATACCACCTTATTTTAATTTTTATACTTTCATAACTCATAACATGAATATTGGGCTGCAATTTCCTTGTGTTCTCCATAGATCTAGCTCAGAAACTTTTAAAAATTTACATTAACAGCACTGGTGTGTGTGTGTGTGTGTGTGTGTGTGTGTGCACACACACACTTATGCATGTGTGTGTTCTGGGGGAAATAGATATATACATACATATATATATACACACATATGTATTAAATATGTATACATTCACGTATATACAATTTTCTGTCATTCCATGGTATTTTGGAAAGAGAAGATGTATATATATGTTTAATCAGCCATCTTTATCCAATTTATTTGACTCGGGTTGGGTGGATATGTCCATTAGTTTTGCATTATAACTAATTCCACTTACAATAATGAAAGCAGGATCCTTTCTGTGCATATGCCAATGTGAAGGTATGTAGGCGACCTTGATTGTTATTGAAGTATATGCTTTTTAAGTGGAACTGCTTCATAGTCTAACAGAAGATTCAGGGGCAAATGAGTGTTTCTCACTTGGCTTTTTTCCTCCTGTCTAAAAAATATTTATTTTTATTGATTTTCAAAAAAGAGAGAGAGAGAAACATCAATAAGTAGCTTTCTATATATGCCCCAGTAGGGAATCCAACCCACAACCTGGGCATGTGCCCTGATCAGGAACGAACCAGCATCCCTTCAGTACATGGGACAATACTCAACCAACTGAGCTACACCAGCCAGGCCTTACTTGGCTTTCTGATAATGTCAATACAGTGATGATATTACACATCTACAAATCTACTTTGGTACCTGTTATGCACTTAAATATGTTTTTCCATAAATTCTCCAACAATTTCTTCTCAGAAAGAGCCATTTAGCAAAAGGATACTAATTTGGCTTTTTTCCCCATGGATTTTATTTTTGACCTTTGCCCACTTCCTTATTTTGTAGATGAAGAATGTCACAAATATTTTATTATTCTTTTTTTTTAAACTAGTCACTGCATATGTTCTTTAAAAAAAATCAGATGATGAAAAATGTAAAGAAACAAAAAGTCTAAACTTGGCTGGCGGCTGAAAACTTTTGTCTTATGCTTTTAGATGTGTTCACAACCCAAACTCCAACTGGCTCCCAGTCTGAAATATCCGTGAAAGCAACAACTGCTGTGGATTTTTCTCTAAGAAACTGTAAGTATTGAAAGGCACCAGTGCAAATATGAACATCCCTTAAAACAATATTTCAAAACAGCATTAGAGTGCTGGGTAGGAAAAAGATCTTATTGGCACTAATGTCAGAAGTCTTCATTCCTAAATAAGGACACTTGTGTCTATTGCACTGAGAAATTCTGAAGGCAGGGAGGTTCTTACATTTTTTTTAGACTATTTTGGGTTTGCATGGAAATAAAAACTAAATAACTAAATTTAGGACTAGAATATTGTATGTCTTTCTTCAACCCACATTTTTACTCCTTTCTGCTTTATAGCTTCAGCTTCAAACATTGTTTCCTTCTGCACCTTTCCACCAAGCATAACTATTTGATAGATGACTTTGGAGGCCATTAAATCTCCAAATGCATATAACACATCTATTACCAAGGCATGTGACAGCTCAGATCTACGAAACACATAAGCCACAAAACAGAATTACAAGGAAAAGGGGATGGAAGTCAATAGGGAAGAGAGGATGTTTCTGGCAATGGCATTTCAATATTGGTGACTGACAGACCCCGTAAGCCTACTTATTAAATAAAGCCACATGACAATAATGGGATATTTTTGAGCAGTTTCAAACCTTGGGACATAACTGAGAGGGGGACATTCCAAGGGCATTCACTAATGAGACAGCTGACTCGTGGGAATTTTGCTCCTACAAGTAAACATGCTCTTGAGTTGTTTGGGACAAGACATAGAATAGAGAGGCGGTTGAAGAAAACAGACCACGTACCTCAGATTCCCTTAGGAGATGGCTTACTGAGGACCAGGGAAGAGAGTCCAAAACCCTAACTTATATTCCCGTAATTCAGGTCCCCAAAGGATTGTCAGAGAAAGTTGGATAGGGACCAGTTGTTCCATTTAAGCGGGGCTCTGACAGAGGGAGATAGGCTGACATGGACGGAATGCTCCAGAGGAGCAAGCCCCCCTCCCTCAAAGATTAAATCTCCAGAATTATTTTGAATAATTCTGCTGGTCCAAAAATTCTTAGGGCAAGTAGCTGAAGCAGTCCAGACACTTTTCTCCAGAGCAGAGGAAGAGGGTTGCAGAGCAGAGTTTAAGGATTTCTGGCCACTTGTTCTAGTCCTGCCTGAATCAGTGTCAACTCCGGTAACAATCTCTTTTTCCATTCTTTCTTGCCACCAAGATTCCTGTAACGGTGCTGTTTGCAGGCTTCATCCGAATTCATTCTGTCTCTGTAGAACTCCTCCCGTGGGGGGACTGCCTGTACCACTTATGGAACTTGATTGACTCCTGTATTAAGCAAAGTTAACTGAAATTTCAGGCCAACTTCATGGGGGAAAGTATGGTCCTCCAGTCACAACGGTCCCCAAATACACTCTTACTGACATAGCTCCAGATGGACACATGATCGCCTGAGATATGCACTCAATCAGACCTGAAAACCCTTGATTTGTAGCCCCACATCTTTATATCTAAAGTCTTGTCTTGAGTAGTAAACATGCATATGTTTCCAATTTACAAGGAAATTGATGCTGCCTCCCTTTACCAGACTGTCCTGGGCTGACGGTATCACTGCAAGGCGTGGTCCGGAACCATCTGAGACAGTGTGTCTGATCCAGTAGGCCTTCCTCACCTCTGGTTGTGGGCCAGAATCCCACAAAACTATAGGCATATGAATCCCACCTCAGGCAACAACTTTACCTTTTCTTTCCCCTGCTTTGAGTTACCTCAAAAAATTGTCAACATCTTTCTGGGATTTTTTTCCCCTCTCTCCTTTTCTTTGTTCCACTTTTTAGCTTAAAAATATGCCTAATCACAGATGTGGAGTCAATATTTTAATCTGCTGATAACCCACTTATCCCTTTTCCTAGATAAACTCAATGAGACATCTGAAGCACCCAGTGAAGAACCCTCCATACAAAGAATTCCAAGTACTAAAGTTACTACACTGTAGTCATACCTGGAGCATGTCACTATATGAGTAAAAATTTAAGTTTCACTACTCTGAGTATTTCATAAAATAATAGCATGCTTAAAGAACTTGTACTCTACAGTTCAAAGTCACTCTAAAATCTTTTTAAAATAATTTTTTATTGGTTTTAGAGAGGAAGAGAGAGAAATATCTATACTAATAAAAGGGTAATATGCTAATTAGAGTGGACGTCTTCCAGATGACCTTCTGGACGTCCTTCCGGACAAAGGCGCAGCAGCTGCGAAGGGCTGAGGCTTAGGCCGGCAGTGGCAGCAGCAGTAAGGAAATGGGGGTGGCACCTTCCCCTGATCTGCCAGGTCGCCTCCCACAGAGGGAGGCTAGACTGAGGCTTAGGCCAGGGGCCGAGGCAGAGGCAGTTAGGGGCGATCAGGCCAGCAGGGGGTCAAGTTAGGGGGGCAGAGGTAGTTAGGGGCTATCGGGCAGGCAGGCAGAGGTACTTAGGGGCAATCAGGCAGGCAGACAGAGGGGTTAGGGGCAATCAGGCAGGCAGACAGAGGGGTTAGGGGCAATCAGGCAGGCAGGCAGGTGAGCGGTTAGGAGCCAGAGGTCCCAGATTGTGAGAGGGATATCCGACTGCCGGTTTAGGCCTGATCCCACAGGGGTCCCAGATTGGAGAGGGTGCAGGCCGGGCTAAGGGACCCCCTACCCCCACCCCATCCACGAATTTTGTGCACCAGGCCTCTAGTCAATAGATAAACATTGATCAGTTGCCTCCCACACGCACCCAATCTGGGACTAAACCCGTAATCTGTGCATGTGCCCTAACCAGGAATCAGGAGGACACTCAGCCAGCTGAGCCACACCATCTAGGGTGCTAAAATATTCTAAACCATGAAAATCTAAGGGTCAATTTTCAGATGTATTTGACATGGGGTAGAAAATGAGCTCTTTTTATAATACAATTTTATTTTAATAAAATATATCAAATTTATATTTATGCATATATTTATGTTAAATGTATTTATATTTAACATAAATACATAATTATATATTTCACATAAATATATAAATATTTAATACATTTTAATATAATTTTTTAAATTCTCACTTGAGGATATTTTTCCATTGATTTTTGGAGAGAGTGAAAGAGAGAGGGAAAGACAGAGAGAAATATCAATGTGAGAGAAACACACCAATTGGTTGCCTCCTGCACAGCCCTGCCAGGGCCTGGGCCAGGGAGGAGCCTGCAACCAAGGTACATGCTCTTGACTGGATTCAAACCCAGGACTCTTCTGTCCACAGGCCGATGCTCTATCCACTAAGCCAAACTGGCTAGTGCTTACTATAACTTTTAATAATTACATAAAAAATTCTACCTGCTCGAGAAATAAACTTTTCTCTGCATAGAGGCAATGATTAGTGTTTCCTAAGATTATTTGGGGAGGTGGGGTTGTGAGTAAGAGGCTGCAAAATAAAAAATAATCATTTTACTTTCCTGCCAAAAATATTGTCCCTTATAAAATATTTGTGAAACCATAACAACCCAGGAAGTCTTGAGTGAGTGGTCTAATTGAGGACAATGGACCTGTTGTTACATGAAACTATTTTCTCCAGTTCATGCAATAATATGATTACCCTAAATTCATTTGCATCTTTAACACCACTAAACAAAAAAACCTTCAATCAGCTTTTGATATGCTTAAAAATAGAAATCTGATCATGCTGGTATTTTACTTCTTCAATATCGTTCGTCATTTGCACTAAAGTTTTAGTTTACTAAAAGTAAATGAAGGAGAAAATACTAAAGAACCATGTAGAAAGAATATTCAAAATTTTAAAGTTACAGCACTGTAGGCATACCTAGAGCATATCATTATATGAGTAAAAATTTAAGTTTCACTACTTAAATTTGGGGTCACATTCTAACCTCTAACTGGGCAGTCAAGTCTGACGTGACCTGAACATTAAAGAACGTTTCAGTCTCTTCCCTGGCCACACGCCCCATCCACGTTCTTTATTCCAGACTTCCTGAAGCTCCGAGAGCTTGCCCAGCCTGTTATGGTTCTGAGTCTGCTCACAGAGGAATGACCTCCCTCTGAACTTGTTTGCCTGGCAATGTGTAGCCCTCTGCACCTGTATTAAAGCACCATCTCCCCTTTGAAGGGTTTCCAGCTTTTGCAACTTGATTTTGGTCCCTCCATGAATACCATCTGTGCGTTTCCTTTAACACCCTCCTTATCCTACAACATAATAAGCAGCGATTCCTGTCTGCTTTCAAAATCGAGTGTGTTTCTTAACCATTAAGACTGGTGTTCATTTCTGTCACTTCAGTACCAACTGCAGGTCTGGTACATGGTAGGAGCTCAAGGTGTAACTATTAAATGACTAAACTAACAAGTGAATGAATGAATGTTCTGACACAAATTTACTAAAGCCAAATTACCTTATTTTGTCAAACTGTTCTATTTTGTTTTTTAAACAGAAACAACCGAGGTTCCAAATGAGCCTGCATTTTGGACAATGTTAGCTAAAGGTAAACTCATAGTAGTTAGGTAACTGGGAAAACGATTTCTTTTCTGTTCTAAAATCTTATGTAAGAAAGCCAAGATCAATGTAAATAGTTCCAATACTAAGAATAAATGTCAACATTTTCCTGCCATCATCACATGTAAATGCAAAACATATCCAGAAGGTTGATCAAGTGTTTCGTTTTTTCTGATTCTCCTCCCAAAAGTTTCATGCTCCTACAGATGTTGCAATCAATTTTTTTAAGATAAAAAAATTTTAAATAAGGCTCTTGCCCAATATAGCCCCTCTTTGTGTTAGGAGCAGCATGCACCTAAGCACGTGGAGATGTATGAATAAATGCAAAGTACCTATCAAAATATATGCATGCATAAAATGAATGTATACATCATAAATAGTTAAGCATGCATTATAAACATAATGAACATATCATATATGTATTACATGTTTATTGTAGATGCACATATATGCATGCAATAGAAATGTAAGACATATGCCATATTCAGTCAATCTTCAATATTTGTATATTCTGTATTTGAGAATTTACCAACACCTAAGATTTGTAACCCCCAAAGCAATACTAGAACACTTTTGCAGTCATGTGCAGACATGCTCAGAGCAGCAAAACATTTTAATTGCCCGTTGCTCACATGCCTAGCTGAGGTGGAAAAAGGCAGCATTCTGCCTTCTTTTTTCAGCTCTCATACTGTAAATACGTGTCATTTTTGTGGTCTATTTCATGCAACATGTATTTCGTGTTTTCTGTGGGTGATTATGCTATTTAAAATGGCCCCCACATATAACATTCAAATGCTGGTTAGTGTCCCTAAGCACAAGACGGCTGTGATGTATACCTTCTGGAGAAAACATGTGTTAGATAAGCTTTGTTTAGCAGGAGTTATAGTGCGGGAGTTGGCTGTGAGTTCAATGTAATGAATCAGCCATATGTACTAAAATAAAGTGTCTTTAAACATAAACACACATAAAACAGGGCTTTGCATTGATTGGTGGGTGGAAATGTTGTGACCTCGCAGGATCCTAACCCTGTATTTCCTCTATATTATAAAAATAACTAGCATGAATAAATGAGAATAAACTGTAGATATTACACAAGCACACAATGTCAGTAAGTGAATTTTGTTTCCCATAACACCAATTTATTGTTTTAACAGTTTTAAATGAAACAGTGCCGGAGGAAGAATCAAGAGATCAATTATTCCAAGCAATTCCAAGTAAGAACAAAATATCAATGAAATGAATGCATATGTGCCGGCACACATTTTAGGGCCTGAGTGGCGAGACTGTTTTCTGGTAAGGTGTATGTCAGAGGGGAGTGTGAAGGCTAACATGGTAGCAGAGCAGACACTCCTGTTTTAGGAAAGTTGCGGATTTCAAGCACACTCTCCAGTTACAGTACTGCATATACCTATTTATTTCTGTCTTCCTGTTTTGTAACTTCTATTCCTGAATCAGATAAACCAAATGGAGTAGGCAAGTGAAAAAAGTATAGAATGCAGTTTGCTTTTTTAATGAACAGAGTTTGTTTTTAGAGTGATTTTAGTCTTACAGGAAAAGTGAACAGAAATTATAGAGAGTTCTCATATATTCCCCTGCTCAGTTTTCCTGCTTATTAACACTTTGTATTAATGTGGCACCGTTTTTATAATTTATGAGCCAGTGTGGACCCATAGTTACACCCGGGTCCACTCTTTGTGTTCTAAATCTATGGGTTTTAACAAATGCAGATGTCACATGTCCAACATTACAGTACCATAAAGAATATTTTCCTTGCCCTAACTGTTTTGGCTCAGTGGATAGAGCGTTAGCCTGCGGACCGAAAGGTCCCAGGTTCGATTCCAGTCAAGGGCATGCACCTTGGTTGTGGGCACATCCCCAGTAGGAGGTGTGCAGGAGGCAGCTGATCAATGTTTCTAACTCTCTATCCCTCTCCCTTTCTCTCTGTAAAAAAATCAATAAAATATATTTTTTTTAAAGAATAGTTTCCTTGCCCTAAAAATCCCCTGTGCTCCATCTGTCCACCTCTCCCTCGCCCAGCTCCTGACAACCACTGACATTTTCATTGTCTATACTTTTGCCTTTTCCAGAATGTCGTATGTTTGGAGACATACAGTACGTAGCCTTTTTAGACTTGCTTCTTTCCCTTAGTAATCCTATATAATAAAAGGCTAATATGCAAATCGAACTGCAGAAAGACCCATTGCTATGACATGCACTGACCACCAGGGGGCAGACGCTCAATGCAGGAGCTGCCCCCTGGTGGTCAGTGCACTCCCACAGGGGGAGCTCTGCTCAGCCAGAAGCCAGGCTCATGGCTGGCAAGTGCAGCAGCAGTGCTGAGGATGTCCGACTGATGGCTTAGGCTCGCTCCCCAGGAGTCAGTCATCAGTCAGACATCCCCTGTGGGCTCCCAGACTGCGAGAGGGCGCGCAGGCTGGGCTGAGGGACCCCCTCCCCCCAAGTGCATGAATTTTGTGCACCGGGCCTCTAGTATGCACATAAGATTCCTCCATAGGTTTCCATGGCTTGATAGTTCATGTCTTTCCATCACTGAATAATATTCCTTCGTATGGATGTCCCAGTTTGCTTATCCAGTCACCTACTGAAGGACATCTTGATTGCTCCCAAGTTTTGGCAACAATGAATACATCTACTATAAACATTCAGGTGTAGGTTTTTATGTGCACATACATTTTCAACTCATTTGAGTGCCCAGCGATTGCGCTTGATGGTTGTATGGTAAGACTATGCTTAGCATTGTAAGAAACTGCCAAACTGTCTTCCAAAGTGGCTACACCATTTTGCATCCTCACCAGCAATGAATGAGAGAATTTCTGCTTTTAAATGCAGTAACTTTCATTAATGGATTAATTATATTTATATGAGTACAGTAATGCCTGATTTGAATGAAAACATTCATGACAAGGCAATATATTAATGCCCCTCAAACATCTGTCTTGCAAATAAAGCATTGAAAAGAAATTGCATCTGGTCCTCTTAGGCCTGTCACACCAGTTCTGCCCCGGATTATGTGACAGGTACAGTCTCTTGCTTTCAGAGCTTCAAGAAAATGGAGGGAGGCATCTTTTTTCAGAAGAGCTAGATGGAGGAATGACAAATGCTGGGCCACTTGAGAAATATTGTCTTTTCTAGTAATTAAGTTAATTGAGCATGATTGATTTTTTTATCACATACTGAGTACATACTACATGCCAGTGCTTCACAGACATTATTATGTCAGTCCTCACAGCAACTCTGTGACGTTGGTATTATCTCCATTTTACAGATGAGAAAACTGAGGCTTGGAGGGAAACTCTGTTCAAACTTGCAATGGGAGTTTGCATAATTTCCAGTGGTCAGGAACTCCAAACCCTTCTCTAGTTTGGACCATCACCTTGACAAACAAGATGTACTATAAACACAGCTCTTTACAAAAGCCCTTTTAAGGAGTAGCAAAGCAATTCAGGAGCATGGTCCATGTTAACATTTGTTTGATTATTCCCAAAATACTCTGCCTCAAAGTCAAAATCTCAGTCTTTGACAATTGCACACTGTTCACTCCACTCTGACAATTGTAATTTTTTTAAATCAGAGAATATAGACATGGAGCTTGTCATTGCTTATTACCAAAACATCATTATCTGGAAAATAATGAAAGCCTTTGAAACTTTTGGGAGGATGTTGGGGTAAAGGGGAGAAATACCAACATGGTCATGTAAAGTCATCATTATATAAATTAAGTATACAAATATTAAGTCAGACATATTTAAAAAATAAAAATTTGACAGCAAAGATATATTTTCATTAATAGATTTAGTAAAATGACCTGACATATCTGGATCTGGACATATCTTTATTATAGAACTTAGTTTGGAAAGCGAAGTAAGCTTCCATTTCTCAGTAATAAAGTGGCAAGTTCAGTTCTTAAGCCACATGGAGAAAGCATCTGGTACACCCTCGTTGTAGCTGAAAAGAAAAATCAATGCATGTCCCAATAGGAGAACTGCATCTTTTTCTTTTGAGGGATGTGTGTAAATCCATATTGTTAGTAGTAATCCCTGTAGAGTTGTGAACTGGTTTTTACTAGTCGGAGAGGAAGTCTGCTGCATACACATTTTAATACCAGTAACCTGGGTTTGAAACCAGATTTTGCCATTTACCAGCTCCGTGCCATGGCAAATTCACACACTCTGGGATCCTGTGAAATGGAGCTATAGACAGCTTCTCGGGACCGCTGGGAAGGTGACACGGGAAAAGTTAGGGGTGCTGGGCCACCACAGCCTTCTCCTTGCGTTGCCCGAGGGCAGGAGAGTGGCTGTGGCTGTGACTGCTCCCCAGGGTGAAAGGCCTGTAGGCGCTTTGTAATCCTCCCCCTGCAGAAAACCCTGCGGGACACAAGGACCCTTTTCATTGCATTTTCTTTCTTCTCAGGCTCTGATTTGAATGCTACAAGTGAAGACCAAGGAGTAGAAGCACAGGATAACAAGTTAAAACTAATGCTGGGCATCTCCCTGCTGACCCTCCTCCTCTTCACCATCCTCCTGGCATCATCTAGTGCCTTGCTGTACAAACTGAAGACCAGGTAAGTCCACAGACCTCCGGAGGGTCTGTGACACGCACATGCAAAGCTCCCAGCTGCCTCTCTAGCAGACGGTCCGGAAATGTGACTCCCAAATGTATGCGGATGCTATTCCGTTGGCCACATTTCCCTGACTCAGAAAGAAGCCTGGCTGTCTCTGAGGGAATGCCCTCTTTAAACCTGTCCCCAATATTTTAAAATCATCCTCTAGAAATAGAGACCACCCTAACCAACTGGGAGGGGTAGCGAGCATCTGGTTGGCATCCTTTGTTGAAAGCCTTGGAACAGAAGGGCCACGACTCTGTTCTAAATAGCACACCTGCTTAGGGCCCACCAGTGTTCATTCCTTTACATAGCGTGCTACCAAGTCATCGATAGATGGGACCGAATCCATACACTGTTTTAACTTTTGTGATACCGTTTTGAGTTGCGCTGCAGACGTACATCACTTACCACAATTACTGAGGTATGTTTTCTTTTTTCAGTTATAACAAGCAACTTGAGCGTCAGTACTCCATCCACCCCGAGCTGGCATCGCTGTCCTACTTCCAGCCGGCCCAGGGCGTCTCAGACTCATCCTTCTCTCGGAGCGCCGAGAGCAGCACCCTTTTGGACCCAGGAATGGGCATGACAACCTCGGATGAATACATGCGTTAGACCTCGGAGTGGCGATGTTCCCACTGATAGAAAACTTTAGTTTTGTGTCATAAAAAAATATCTTTCTTTGTGAATCACACGATGTCATGATTTAGAAACTCTGCTGAGACGTTTACATTTTTCTGCCGTCTTAAAAGGAGGACTGTTCAATAAAATTCTCTCGGCTATAAAAATTAATGGAAAAAATAAAAGGAAATCATTTAAGGTGTGGAAGACTCATCAAGTAAAAATAATCCTAGAAAGTGACTTATGAAACATATTCACTCCCAGGGGTGGGCAAACTTTTTGACTGGAGGGCCACAATGGGTTCTTAAACTGGACCGGAGGGCCGGAACAAAAGCATGGATGGAGTGTTTGTGTGAACTAATATAAATTCAAAGTAAACATCATTACATAAAAGGGTACGGTCTTTTTTTTTAGTTTTATTCATTTCAAATGGGCCGGATCCGGCCCGCGGGCCGTAGTTTGCCCACGGCTGCTTCTAGGCTGTTTCATTTTTAATCCTCACCCAAGGGATGTTTTGTTGTTGTTGTTGTTGTTGTTTGCTGCTTATTTTTTTTAATTGAGTTTTAGTGAGAGAGGAAGGGAGAGAGAGAGAGAGAGAACATCAATGTGAGAGAGAAACATTGAATGGTTGCCTCCCTCCCACATATGCCCCAACCTAGGGATTGAACCTGCAACCTAGGGAGGATGCTTTAACTGAGCCACCCGGCCAGGGCAAGGCTGTTTAATATTTAAATGAGGTCTTACATACCTGTTTACCTTACCTGCGGGCATTTTGAGGACTTTCAGGGCTATCTATCACCATGACCTATGCCCCTCCACCACCAAAGCTAAAAGAATACACCTGTATGTTCTACTGGCAAAACAGTTGTGCCGTATCAGGAGATGAAACTAAATTAATACAAAAGACTCCTAGCACTCTTGAATTGTTTAAAAGCCATCAGGGCTGTGCCCCTGGGACAAACAATAAGAAAAAAATTTTTTTCCCTCCCATTTCTAAAGTATCCATAAACATTTGAGACAACATGGTGTACCAGCGAAGGGAAAGGCAGGAATCCCAGCACATAACTTCTTGGAGAGGGATTCAAGACCCGAGTCTTTTAGAGCTGAAAGGCCCTTCTTCTCTCTTCCCCCAGGGATCCTGGCTCACCATGCTCTATTGCAGGGGTGGGGAACGTCCGCCGCAGGCTGTTTAAGGCCTGAGAAATCGTTAGGTCTGGCCCTGCCAAGGCCTTAGGAGTGAGTTAATTAAATGTTTGACCAAATATAGCAGGCTAATTTTTTAAGTTGATCATTTTGTATGGCCCCCAAATGATGTTATAAATATCTACACGGCCCTTGGCAGAAAAAAAGGTTCCCCACCCCTGCTCTATTAGAAGAAAAGAAAAACATCTCAAAGACTAATTTAGCTTATTAGTGACTTATGCAGCCCTAATAATCCCAGGGGTATTACAATTTACAAAGAAGACCAATGGAATGGGGACATGTTTTCCCTTTTGTGAATCAGTTTCCCCTGGAAGGATTTCAGGGGCCTGGATCAGGTAGGTATGTGTGGACATGTGTGGACTGGAAAGAGGAGGAGAACTTAGGACAGGTTTCATTAATTCTCATCTACTGTATTGGAGGCACTTTGTATTTTACACCACACTGACCTCTACTCCCCTAGGAAAGGCAAGTTTCTTTTACACCTCAAGAAACAAAAACCAAGATCACGTCTGAGAGAGGCGAAGCTAACATGTGCTTCCAAACTGAGCTTCCGTGATCCACAAAGGTTAACAGTCCAATTTTTAACAAAAGTCAAAGGAGGTTGTCCAGGAGCAAGGCAGGCCCTGCCTCCAGAAGGCAGGAGGCTCCTTAATTCGGGAGTTCTTTCAGCTGCTGGGGAATTGTTTTCCTTCCCTCCAGCTGAGGACAGACACACACTTCACAGCCAGGTGCCGGCAGGCCTACCACCCATTCTCAGCATCATTGCTCACTCCCCACTTTCTCTCCTGACCTCACCGCAGCCTCACTATTGGCTGGGAAAGCTCCGAAGCTCCGCCTCTGAGTGGCCATGGACCATATAAGATGGTACCCTTCAGGACAAGAGGTGTCAGGGCACGTGCTTGCTTTGTCCTGATCTTGCTAATAATATCCATAATACTGAGCCGGTGGTGGTAGCCTTGACCAATAGTCCGTGCTACCCTCTGCGGGTTACTTTTGTCATTTTCCAAGCCCTTCGGACCTGAGAAATGCAGTGGGGACTGTGTGAGGCAAGCGGTTGCAGCTGCTTGCAGGTGCCGAAAGCCTTGTGGAGTCTGTGGGTGAGAAAGGGCTGGTGGGAAGACTGGCAGGAGGGCGGGGGAGGGGTGACTACCAACCATTCCCATTCTTGGGAAGTGCCAGGACTTGGTTGGAAATAGGTGTAATAGTCACGTTTGAATCATATAACTTGTCTCCAGTGCTCAAGTATTGTAGAGCGAGCAAGTTCATCATTACAGCATTATTCTGGCTAAAATGGCTAAGAGAAATGATAACCGTGTTTTTTAAAATTGGCTTGTCATCCTCAGCGGGCATGCTTGCAGGGCCCATTGTGAAGTGTGGTCCAGGTACTGGGGTGGGGAGGGACCTTGCTGGTGACCAAGGTCTGCCCCCCACTTCGCTGGTGTGGAAGCCAGAGGGTCGTGCAGCCCAGGCTGGAGAGAGTGGAGGGGTCATCCTCTCATTGGGTCCCTGCTGACCTCCTATTCCGAGGCTAAGCTTGCATTTCCTGAGCAGGTTCCCTGGGCCGGGGGAAGGACATACACCCCTCTGGAACCTGTCCGTGTCTCCCCCATTCTGAACACCCTCCTATTCCTTTCTCTGACGCCCATAACCTGCTCTTGCCCAGCCCTCACACAGGGATGTCCACGTTTCCCTTCCTGAACTACTTCAGGGCAAGTCCCAGAGCGGCTGTTCCAGGGTCCCCCCGAGTCTCCTTCCGGCCTCACACCGGGGGCGAGTCCCTGGTCCCTCTTTCCTTGACCTTCCCACGGAGAGTGTGTCCTGAGAGGCGCCGAGCAGTGAGGGTGCCATGTGGTTCTGTTTAGGGACATTTTTCGATGACCTTATTGGGGGGGGCACCCAGTTCCTGAAACCCGGGGAGGGGCGTCCCAAGGGTGTTGGGAAGATGGTTGGGTGGGCTCCCTGCCCCTGTTTCTTTGGGTGGGAGGGGAGGGCGCTCCCCCAGGAGCAGCTGAAAGCTCTGCTCAGCTGCCCGCTCAGGCTCAGGGCGTGCGGGCTCTTCTAAGGACCAGCGTTTGCCAGCTCCTGGGAGCGAGGTCCTAGAATGGTGCGCAGCAAAGTTGGTAAGATGCGTGCGTGGCCTCCTGCGGTTTTCTCGTGTGTCCCCCCCCCCCCCCACCCCGCACATATCCCGCGTGGGGTTGTCATTAAGGGCTCCCTGTGCTCTGGTGGAAAGCGGGGGCGGACCCAGGTCGGGCAGGGAGTAATTGTAAATGGAAACGAGCTGTTCCAGTCGCCGCTAGACTCTGGGTGTGCCTTCCAGTGTCACAAGTAGCCCTCCAAATAAAGCTGCTGAGAGCAAAACTTCTTAACTTGTGAAATGGAGGGAAAGCATAATCGCTCTCCCCCAATCGCACCCTGGAGCACTGCTTACGTGGCCCTCTCTGAATCATGGCAGCCAAATAAACCCAGCGTTTGCCAGAAAGCAATTCTGGCTGATTATCCGGAGCTGACTTCCCTTTCCAGGTTTATTTAAAGAGAAATGAGAGCCAGACGTTTATGTTTGGATCCGGGATCATGGTCCTTGTGCCTGCTCGCCCCCTTCTCCCTCCTCCATCAAAATGCCATACAGCTTGTCACACACTTTCTTCTGGATTTCAATGGAGTTCGTGTCTTAGTAGAAAATGAATGATAAATTAAAAGGCTGTCAAGCCAGGAGAAAGCTCATTGTGTAAAGAGGAAGCACGTGTGTGTTATCCAAACATGAAAGTTATCTAAGATAAATTCAGAGTTTTAGAGAACATAATTTGGATCACATCTCATATCTGAAATCTCTTGCTTGGGAGAAGGGAAAAGTGTGTAATTACCCCATAATCGATACAGGAAGGCTTATCTTGGAAAGAGGGAAGAGGTGGAAAGGAAGGAGCCCTTTCTACCCCTGGGGTTTAGTTTGTTTTCTTTTTAATGTGTTTTTATAGATCTCAGAGAGGAAGGGTGAGGGAGAGAGAGACAGAAGCATCAATGATAGAGAGAATCCTTGGCCGGCTGCCTCCTGCACGCCTCCTACTGGGAATCAAGCCCACAACCCAGGCATGTGCCCCGACCAGGAATAGAACCATGACCTCCTGGTTCATAGGTTGATGCTCAACCACCGAGCCACACCAGCTGGCCTGGAGATTAGTTTTCCTTGTTGATTTTTTAACATTTGTTGGTAGGTAGGGGTATATGTTTTGTTTTATTTTGTGTTTGAGGCATTCTATAATATTGGGGACCTTAGAATGTTGGGACAACTAAATTAAAAGACTGCTGCTTTAAATAATAGTTCTGTGTAAGAGGCATTCAGCAATTTGAATTGTTTCCAAATTGTCAGTGTTTGGTAAATAGTAAGGTGAGTAGTGTATATCCAACCTATGTCCCATTTGACACAGTTCAATAATTATGTATAAGGCTGGCCTGTCCCACTGCTGTACAGTGATAAGGCACGAGTGTGCTTTAATCAGTCATAGAAATGAGCTAGACCCGTGGTCGCCAAACTGCGGCTCGCGAGCCACATGCGGCTCTTTGGCCCCTTCAGTGTGGCTCTTCCACAAAATACCACGTGCAGGCGCTCACATACAGTGCAATTGAAACTTCGTGGCCCATGCGCAGAAGTCGGTATTTTGTGGAAGAGCCACACTCAAGGGGGCAAAGAGCCGCATGTGGCTCGTGAGCCGCAGTTTGCCGATCACTGAGCTGCTAGACATTTGAAAGGCTTCAACAGTGATGGTCATTGACTTCTTCTTCTCCTTCTAAGA